CGACAGCTACGTAGTCAACCAGTGCAACAGAGCCGGAGGAAGTCAGCCAGCGGACGCTGATGCGCATGGAGCGAAGGATTGGCAGTTTAGAGGCGGCCGCAACACTGAAACACAGTGAACAGTCTGTGCTGGGGCCTAGGCCTTTGGTGGCATGCTGGCAGAGTGCTGGCAGAGTGCTGGCAGAGTGCTGGCAGAGTGCTGGCAGAGTGCTGGCAGGCAATGGTCCACATCCTCCTGGGTGAGGACCCAAAGTCGCCGAGCAGATCGTTGCACAAGTCGGCCGCGGGACCGCGGGAGCATGTGCAGGAGAGAAAAGCTGTGACCTTGGAGATGCCTAATACCAGATGTTGGTTGGAAACGCTGTACTGTAATCTGACAGAATCTGATGGCATGTGTGCAATCGTGGGGAGAGCTTCGACATTTACTTGTCCGTGTCTCGGCACCTGACCACGACATGCCTTCCGGGCCATGCTCTGTATTTGCCAAGATTAATGCGAGCGCAGGCATGCGAACGGAGAATTCAGATAAGCTCTTCACCATTAGGTGAGCAGTTGTGAACCATGGACCATTGTGAACCTTGTACAGCGCAGTTTCACTGCAAATGCCAGCGTAGCGCTTGCACGAGTGTGATTCATGAAGCTTTAGGTTTGCAGCATTGGGTTTTTGTTGGCAAAAGGTTTGGATAACCATGGCATCAGCTGTGCGAGGCGACGTAGCTATTTCTTGTTAAGAACTCGTTGTTTCATCCACAGGTCAGGTAACTGGATTTTGAGACTAGGCACGAAGGGTGTCTCTAGACTCTAGATGTCGGTATTTTGGTGCATGGATGGGACAGCGCTGGCCCTCGAAAAGAAAGTGCCCAGATGAAGCATGCTTTTGGTCACGTTATGGGCATCTCACTGGCATTCTTGCTTTTGCTGCTTGCTTTGCCGCTTTCGCTTGTCATGAATTGCCGGTAACCACCGCAGCCTTGTCACGGTTTGGGCCGGGAGGTGTTTCTGCATTCTGAGCTGCTTCACATCATGGACGGCCACAGCCCAACCCTATGGCAGCCTAATCCAAGTTGTAGAAACAAACTGCCAGGACGGCTTGGCTTGATCTTGCACTGATAGCAGCTAGGTCAGACGCCTCAGAGAACTGCATTGCCTTGAGGTTTTTTCGAAGTATCCAGAAGCCTGATTACCTTAATGAATCTTAATGATGCCTTAGTGGTAGAAAGCATCTGCAACCCATGCCTTGCCAACGACATCACTGCGGCTTTGCGGCACATGCCTGGGTCTTGGCAGCTCCTGCGAGCCACGAATGATCACTAGCTAGGGCTTGCCAAGCACAGTGTGGTTCGCGTTTTTTTTCTCGCTGGCTTGTCCAAGCACAGGACAGAGGCCAGCATGAACAAATCTGACAACAGTGCAACTGGTGCAGAAACCGCATGTTTGCTTGGCTGCTGCTGCTGCTGCTGCTGCTGCTGCTGCTGCTGCTGCTGCTGCTGCTGCCGCTGCTGCCGCTGCTGCCGCCGCTGCTGCCGCTGCTGCCGCCGCTGCTGCCGCTGCCGCTGCTGCCGCTGCTGCCGCTGCTGCCGCTGCTGCCGCTGCTGCCGCTGCTGCCGCTGCTGCCGCTGCTGCCGCCGCTGCATCACTGCCTGTGTGTCTTCTGGTGATGTTGCCCCAGTTGTGATTGTTCCTTGCTTGTTGCGGCTATTGTAGTATCAACGGCCCACGGACACTTACCCACAACAAGGTGGCCATCGGCCGCACATGATTGTACATGACCACCTGTTTTCACTAGGGTGAAGCAATGGGGGTGAATTGCCAGAGATGTGCTGCACATGCATTGCGCATCATGGTGCCATCTTGCGGAGCCAGATATTCCCGCTGTGCCACAGAGTGAAGGCTTTGACTACCACAATGGAGCATAGTATCATAGGAGTAGGCATGATTCGTCATGATATATGTGGGGTTTCGATTTGAGACAGACTTTGCGCGAGAAAAAAAACATCAATGCGTTGCCAGCTCGGCCAGGTCCGATGGCGGAGCTGTTCCTCGCCATTGTGTCGTGCACGGCAGAGAACGACACCGACCAGAAGCAGTTCTCTTAGCCTGTGAGTCAAAAGCACAGGCTAGTATCTATCAAGAACCGAAGCAGAAACACCTTGCACTGAGGCTCAGCTGCGCTGTGGCGTTGGGGAACAGCTCCTGAGCCGGCAACGTTTGATCACACGCTTCAAGCATGTTTGACTTGCGCCTGATGCTTTGTGAGGCTATCGCCGCAGCAAAGTGCCGACATCTCTGGACGACCCTCGGACTGCAGGACTTTGTCCGTCCAAGCCAGGAATAAGCGACTTCGGTCACCGTGAATCGTTGTGCGCACCCGGCCACGTGGGGAACCCTGCACAAAGCTGCAACAGAGACAGGCCAGGGATACAGTGCGAGCATGCCAAGTAGAAGAATGTCAGAAATAGGTCTTGGAAGCCTTGGTAGCAAGGGGGGGGGGGTAGACCGGAGTCTTCGGGAGACCTTTTCGTTATGTTTTGTGGTGTACGGCGGGAATTTCCTCTTTCCAAAGTCGACTTATAACTACGTGACACTTTTTTGCAAGGACTCGTCGCTGTTTCTTCCTTTTTCTGCTCAGGAGAGCTCAGAGGCTTGGCAGGTACCGCATGCTTTCTCTGTGGCGATCCGAGCTATCGGAGAGATGGGTCTGAGGTGATAGGAGAGCGCAGACCAATTTCGTCAATATGTGGCGAGCATGAATGCATGAGCAGAGCCGGCAAAGTTCATGCAACACATTTGCTTTGTTCGTAAGCTGCTGAGGGGCTAGCTGCAGCCGCTGGCTGAAAATAATTCGCAGTGTCAGACTGTCTCCCAGTCTGATTCCATTAGTTCGCCGTTTCAGTAGTAAAGTCTGGAGACATCCATGCCCATCAGGCCAATTGTGGAGGAGGAGGAGGAGGAGGAATCCCCCGAGGTCGAGGAGGATTCAGGAGGGGAGGAAGCCTTGGACGATCATGTGGATGTTGAGTTCGATGATCGTATTCCATGCACGTGGAGGTACGTTGCAAATTGCTATCTGCTTCCACTGACAAATGGTGGCGTGAATGGCTTTCCTTGGTCTGGAGTGGCATTGTTCTTTCAGTTGAATGGCTGGCCGCTCTGGAAGCTTGGCGTTTGCAGTTTTGCCGGCTTTGGCCTGCGAGTGATCATGGCTATCCTGTACCTCAAGTTAGGGACCTGGCTGTCACTTGTGTCCACGAGCATACACCTTGCATGCTGCGTTCCCGCCCTGATCAACCCCTTTGCGGAGTGGGCTGTGATCATCGAGATGATTGCGCTGCTGGGTTTGGACAGCATGCTACCCAATGATGCCATTGTGTTCTACAACTACTGCGACTCTGAGGCCCAGGCACAGAGAGCGGCAACGCAGGTGCGATCTGGGGTGGTGTTCAAGCTTGCAATGCTTGCATTTACGCAGAGGGGGGATAGAAGCATGTCTAGCACAATCGAACATGTTGCCCGACAGGTGCTGCAGAGTCTGGTGGCGTGCTACGCCACGGCTTCCACTTTGGGAGGTGTTGTCTACGATCTCGCGGGCTGGCGTGGCTGCGCTGGTTACCACTTGTCGCTTCAGATCCTACAAGCGGTGCTGATCTTCACAGAGCCCGCGGTTTGGGCATCTTGGTCCGAGTGGCGTCACAGGACCTCTGTGTCGGACGGTGACATGCCGGAATGCGACGTGACCACCAGTATAGTTCCGGTCGTGGAAGACCGGATTGCAGAGGCTGAGGGTCCTAGTGGAAATCCGCCTTCACTTCTGTGTGATGATCTCTTGCCGAGCCCGTCACCATCAGCAGAGAAGATCGCAGCCGGCAGCGGCAGCACAGAATTACAGGGAACATTGAAGCCACCAGAGCATGGCAGCACGCAAGCGAATGAGCGCAAGTCCAGCAAACCCACAAAGGAGTCAGTTGCAAACGTTGCAAACTCGCATCCGCTGTCACTTCTGTGTGATGATCTCTTGCCGAGCCCGTCACCATCAGCAGACAAGATCGCAGCCGGCAGCAGCAGCGCAGAATTACGGGGAACATTGAGGCCACCAGAGCATGGCAGCACGCAAGCGACTGAGCGCAAGTCCAGCAAACCCACAAAGGAGTCAGTTGCAAACGGTGCAAACTCGCATCCGCTGTCACCTCTGTGCGATGATCTCTTGCCCAGCCCGTCGCCGTCAGCAGAGAGGATCGCAGCCGGCAGCAGCAGCACGGAACTGCGGGGAACATTGAAGCCACCAGAGCATGCGAATGAGCGCAAGTCGAGCAAACCCAAAAAGAAGTCAGCTGCAAACGTTGCAAACTCGCGCGTCTCGTTTGCGGCCGTTGCCGACACCAGGGGGTCGATGTTCTTTGCACGTGGCAGCTTCTTTGGGGGCCGAGGGAGCGTTGCGAGTGAAAAGCGGCTCTCTCATGGGGCCTCTAATAACTCTAATACGGTCTCCAAGGCGGTTCCCCGGCGCACGCTGATGTCACGATTTCCGGACATCCCCAGGAGCTCAGTGGCGGTCCAGATGTCAAGACGGTCAATGGCATGTGGGAATATGATTCCGATGGCCACGTCGCGCGAAGCATCTCAGTTAATGTTCTTCGACCAGGAGGAAGAGGAGGAACCCGGCGTTGGTGCAGTTGCGGGTCGTAAAGCAAAGAAGACCATTCCCTACGACATCATGCTTCCCGCAGTGTTGATATGCCTCATCGGCTTCAATCACAATCTGTCCTACCAATCAGAGTGGACGCTGTACGCAGTCTTCTTTGCGGAGCAGCATGGTTGGCAATCAGCAACTTGGGCCGGCCTTGCCCAGACTTCTGGCGATGTGCTTGGTACCATGATCATGCATTTCCAGTCTCGCTGGGCGGTTGGTACGGAAGAGGATGGTTTTGCTGGAAGCCCATGCCAGTGGCTCTGGTATTCCCTCACTGCCAAGCCTTACACCGCGTCCTGGATTTTGCTGTTCTGGGTGATCTTGAATCTGGCGTTGACGGCCCCCTCCCTGCCGGCAGCAGTTGCCGCGCAAGTTGTCATGGGTACAGTGTTCGTACTGTCGATGCAAACAGCTACCAAGATGAACTTGTTCTTCTCCTTGGGTGACGGGGATGTTTTTTTGGCCTTGCAAGTGTTGCGCCAGAATTTCGAGTCGTTTGGCAGTGCGCTGGCTGCTTTGGTGTCCTTGCTGCTCTATGAGCGTGTCCATCCGCTTGCGCCATTCTGGTTGACGGCAGGAGTCTCCCTTCTCATCCTCCTCTTCTACACGCTTGCCTTCTGCAAGCGTGTAGGCTTTGGCCAGAGCTTGGATACAGCGGAAGAAGCAAGAAGCCAGAGAAAGGGATTGACACGAGAGAAGACATGGCAGAAGAGCAACGCCACAATGGCAGCAACGAAGCAGCTGAGTATGGCCTGGGATGAGTAGCATTGGGCTTGCACGAGCTTGCACGTTTCTCTCTCCAATTCAATTCATGCTTGTTTGGACATACAGATTGCTGAGGATGACAATGCCAATGCATGGTTTTGCTCAGGTGCTGTTGCCGTCGTGCTGGTCGTGAAATGTCGTGAAATTCACGTGTTCACCAGCCGGGGACGCTGCAATGCAATCGGCACCGGTCTCGAAAACTCGACTCCGATGGCTTGCTTGTGCAGGTTCTTTCCCCACTCGAGCGCCCTCGCTGGCCATGTTTAAGTTTAAGTATGCAACAATACGCCAATACGCAGTATGCATGGTGCTCTTCGCTCTGTAGTTGCTTTGCCTTTCGCAATGAACCCTGCGGGGGCGCGAAATCTTTAATGGCAGGTGCAGCACTGTACAGCGACGCATGCGACATGCAGAGATTCTGCACAACCTGCAAGGACTCTACCATGCCACGCTTGGACGATAAATCTTGTAGCATCCGACTCCATGGATGTTAGCCTACACAAGCTGCTACTGCTAGTGATTGTCGTCTCATTTGTCTGATTGTCGGACTAAGGTCTGTAACATAACCGTGCTCTTCGGCGAGAAGAGCGTTGCAAATGTGTCGCTGCCAATGTTGCAGCTGGGATTCTCCCCCGCATTGGCAGACTCTGCGGAGCATTTCTTATGTGCTCCGTAGCCAATGTGTCCGGCAGTTTCTGAACTGGCTCAGGAAAGTCAAAAAACACAACGCTTGACGAGTCAGGCTCTTGGCTTCACGGGACACAGCCGATATGGTGCAGTATGGTGCAGGTAAGCAGAGTTGCTTGGTCAGACGAGCCACTCAATGCTGAGATCAAGGTGGTTTCGTTTGGAACCCGTCACCGGGCCTGACGCACATGCACGGCTTCGACTGTTGTTGCACCTACGTCGCGATGGTGCAGGACGCTGACCTTGCTGCGTGCTCTTGCTTTAATTCACAAGCAGCCAGCGCATTGAATTCGATTTCCAGCTGCATGAGGAGACCGGGCAGCACCCCCACAGTGCTTCCAACAGCTTTGCCGAGAGCTGCTTCCTGACACCTCCAAGGACCTGGGCCTGAGCATTGCCCAGCCTGTGTGAGGAATTGATTAACGGGGCGAATGGGCGAAGGGTTTCTCCCAAAAATCCCACCCCTTTCAGAACCCTTTGGCCCCTTGAGGAATTAGAGGGCTGGGGGGTGAGGTCAGGGGCATTATCCACCGGCTTCCCCAGACCTAGCAAAACCACGAATTGGCCGAACTGCCTTTCTCATTTATCATCCATGCAGCAGACTCTCAGAAAATATCAACGAACGTGAAGACAAGCACTGCAGAGATCGAACTTGAGGGCATTGCAAAGCTGCATGGAGTTTACAGCCCTTAGAAACCCCAAACGACCCTTCAATTCCTGTCTCTAAGTCGAGATCCTGGGAGGTATCTAGGAGGTGCGATAATTCGGGATGTTTTGCTTGGGAGGGGGGGGGGGGGGTAAAGGGTTGCTCACCTCTTGAAAGCGCAGCCAAGCAAGCTGCCAAGCTGCCGAAGTGAGAGCGATGCTGCTAGCAGAGTGTGGTGTTAGCTGGGCTATGTATTTATTTCCGGTGGAGAGGATCATCGGCACGCTCTGGCCGCGGCAGGACATCTCGCAGCAAGTGCTTTGGGCCAGAATATGCCACACCACACTTGAAGCTGCTGCATAGATCGTGGGTGTAAGTTGTCGAGAAGTGAGCCAGAGAGACAGAGAGAGAGAGAGAGAGAGAGACAGAGAGACTCATGCCCAGCACAAGAAGAAGAGGCAGCAGAAGAAGAAGAAGAAGAAGAAGAAGAAGAAGAAGAAGAAGAAGAAGAAGAAGAAGAAGAAGAAGAAGAAGAAGAAGAAGAAGAAGAAGAAGAAGAAGAAGAAGAAGAAGAAGAAGAAGAAGACAAAGAAGAAAACACAGAGAGAGAGAGAGAGAGTGTGTGTGTGCCGGAAGGGAGAGGATGAAAGAGGAGTCGTCGTTGCTTTCGGAGTTTGGACATGCTGGCACATTTGCAGAACATCCGTAGCTTCCCGGCAATCAGAACAGTGGTTCGAGCCGGGCGAGGGAATCCCTCAAAAGGCGATCTGCTATCCAAGCTGCACGGCTTCGTGTCGTGCAGTAAATGCATACATAGCCGCAGAAGCTACCTTCGCCGTCAGGATGTCCTAAACCAAAAGATGTTCTTTGTTCTTGCCGTGCGTTGTGGCAAAGGTCCCAGGGTGGGCTGTGCGCAATGAACCCTCGCTTAAGAAGACGCAGCGCTCCTACACCTGGGGAGCCGCCCACGGCTCTTCAGGTTGTGAGCCAACCGGGCGAAGTGGCATTCGAGGGCCAGATGCAGAGTCAGCGGTGGTTGGTCATGAAGACAACGTCCCGGGCCGTGGGCGCGGTTTTGGCCATTTGGGCATCGCCACTGTGATGGAACCCGAGGGCCATCAAGGATGAGCTACAGAGGCCGGTAGATTGCCGTAATCACGAAAGCTCGCCTGTGAGAGGGCGGAGCTATGACAAAATGCGGAAGCATCCTGTGGGCCACATGGGCCCGCACCCGCCCTCGTGTTGATTTGGGTTGAGATGTCTGTGCAAGTGTTGTTTTCCACCCGACAAGTGGGGTAGTTAGATTTTCAGGAGAAAGTGGCACGCATCATGTGGCGCGACGCAGTCAGGTCCAGCACAGATCCAGGACAGTACAATGACAGCAGGTAGGACAGGGAGGCTCAGGTGGCCAACTGTATGGAAATGTCGCCACACTTTAAGCGGGTCACGGAGGCTCCGGCAGGCAACTGTTCCGAAATGTCGCCGCACTAAGCACAGGGAGGCTCAGGCGGGAAACTGTACCGAAGTGTCGCCACACCAAGCAGGCCAGGGAGGCCCAGGCGGGCAACTGTACCGATGTGTCAGCAGGCCAGGGAAGTTGCTCAGGCTGGCGACTGTACCGAAATGTTGCCTTCGAATCAGGCAATGGAGGCTCAGGCGGTCAACTGTACCGACATGTTGCCATAAAGTACTTGGCAGGCCAGGGTGGCCCTGTACCACATGTTGCCACACTAAGAAGGCCAGGGAGGCCCAAGCGGGCAACTATACCGAAATGTCCCCATACTGAGCAGGCCAGGGCGGCCGAGCTGCACCCTGTTGCCTTGCTAAGCAGGCGTCTTTGGCCGCCATGGGCCCATCCATCCGCTTGCAGCGCCAACACTACTGCCCCGCGCTCAAGTCTGCCATCGACAAGCGAATCTGCCTAGCTCAGTTTGGATTTCCAGCAAGACGCTGCATTTCCACCTCTTTTACACCTGCAAAGAGCTCACAGATCTTCACGAACGCCGCAGTAAACCTTCCTGCACAGGCATTTGGCTCCATGTATCACAAAAATTATCACTCACTTCGAAAATCCACACCCTGTTCTTCAAACGTCAATGACGACACGCCGACCCCAGTCTAGATCAAACCACGTATGGAAGCGACATTTCGGTCCTCGGCTTTCCTGAAGGGGCACATGTCCAAATCGGTTTCAGCATTCCCTTTTTTTAGGAGCATGGGGCCGTATGTAGTATGGAGGCCGTCCATGGACTTTTGAAACGTTCAAGGCAAAATCGTGTAAAGCAGCGAAGAGAGCGAAGTGAATGTAACCAGACATCAAATCACACTGCATCGCACGAAGAAACAGAGGACCCATAGATCCCTGTTGTGCCTTTGTTTTGCTTTCGTGCTCTTTTCGTTGAGGCACGAAGAGGAAACGGTTCCGGGTTCCCACAAGCTGCCTCCAGACAGCCTCCATCCTGACTATATCGAGAGACTTCGTACAATCAGACTAGCCTTCTGAGCCCCGACATCCGAGTCCCAGCATCCGAGTCCCAAACATCCCTTGAGAGAGGAGTCTCCGATTGCCATGCTGAGGCCTCGGGTTTGCAGTTTGCCGAATGTGCGGTGCAGAGTTTGGGGAGCAATTAAGTTTTCTCAGATGCGAGCACAGGAAGTTGACGATTTGCGATCTCTGGCCTCCGAGCTGGAGGCGTTGCAGAGGCTGCTGGCACCCGCTTCTTGGGGTCCTGCAAGGGGGGCAGATGGAGGATTCTCCAAGTGCACCATTGGAGGCTGTGTCTCTCCTTCACAAGAGCAGCGCAGCCCGAGACGCCGCAGCCACCGCGAGGCAATAAGGGACCAGCACAACTATCCACAACTGAGAAGCAGCAACAAGCAGTCAAACACTTTTCGCCAATCTGCCTTTTCGCGAATACTCAGACACTGCCATTTAACTACAAGCATCCGGTTGCAACTGCGCATGTGATGATCCAAGTATGTGTGATGGTCTGACCTCTTCACAGAGTCAAGCCCGCATGTGTGCGATAACGATGCACGAAGCGCAGGCCCAGAACCAGTCGATGAGCCCCTGTCACCTCTCAAGGACTATGCTCTAGGCTGAGTCTGCTTAGCCAAGCAGCCCTGTTCGATTGTCTATGCATTGCGAGGATGCCGAGCCGACAATTTACGATGAAGCACGAGCACAGCTGCTTGCACAGAAGGAGGCCGGAATCTCTGGCAGCTCCACAGGACATGAGGATCAGAGATGCCGCGCAGAATTCTTCCTGCTGAGGCTCTCGAGCGGGAGCGGTCAGAATTGAACAGCCACTGGCCTCTCGGACATCTCATTTTCCATCTCGCAGAGGCCTCTTGGAGAGAGTCTGCACCAGGTCAGCCCTGCAGGCCGACCAGTCCACCAAACAGGAGGCGCCCAGCGGGGCGTTTTTACGATTCGAAAAAAGTTTCTCACAAAGGGGCATAGAATGGTGCTGTAGAGCAAGGTGCAGAGCTTTTATGAATTTTCCAGGTGCTGGCAGAGATGCGAGCAGAGCGCCTTTCAATCTTCTCCAGTGTAGAGGAGCTGCAGGCAGAGGTGGTCCCAGCATGTCCCAGCAATGACCTTGTCAATTGAGTATCACCGGGTGTGGCCTTGAGCAGTGTCAGGTTGAAGATGCTACCGCAGAGCTGAAAGAGGCTCAAAGGGCACCTAGTATCACGTAGTATCAGCGCTTTTACCTTGCCAGTGTGCATTGCTAATGCCCGTTGCAGGCGCAGGCAGTATCTTCAAGTCGCTTGGCGGTGCGACGCCAGCTGCAGGCCGAGCTGAATGCTTGCCTTTGGCTCAGAGAAACCTAACGACATTCGCATTTGCATTCAAACCACCTGGAATACGCGATGCGCGCTGTGTAATGTCGCGTAGCTGAGAAAACACGGCAGCCGCAGAAGCAGGGCCTTCTTGCTTAGGCGCTGAAGACTTCAGTAAGGAAGCTGCCTGCCAGCGTTGGTGCCCGAGAATTCCTGAGTGTGTCGCGAGGCACACAGATGCAGCAACCTAACCTGCCTGAATGGCCCATGGACCTAAACTAATCCCCTCCCTGTTGCTTGGCTGCTGCTTCGAGTGACCCGAAAGAGTGAGATTCTTTAGATTGACATTACTTCCTGGTTGGAGCTCGATTACGCTGCAAGAAATCGAGGGCTGCCGCTGTGCAAGCCCTGGCTTTGCGGTAGGTTCATGGACGTTTCCTGACAGCTCGACAGAAGCAATAAGTTTGCACGAAGCACGTTGGGTTCTTTCACTTTCACGGCAATTAGGAACTGAAGCCCGTACTTTTGGCCAGTGCGAGTGTGCACGTCATCCGGCCGTATTTTGGCCAAAGGATGCCAGAGTTATGCGTCAGTCAGATGGGACTCTATATGCTGTGTGAACAACAACTTCTTACATGCACCAGGGCCCTCGATAGGGACAATGCTGAGACGAAGAGGCATGTCAGGACAGCCGTAGGCAAACTCCTGTTGAATGTCTGCTCAAACAAGCTATGATTGCGCCTCCTAAGTTCTGTCGGAAAAAGTTGACATTGGTCAAGCCACGGTCAGTTCGTCACGGAGGAATGATACTGAAAAGTCCATGATCGTTTCTCAACTCCCGGATTTCCATCTCCAGAAATCAGATCGAGCTGGTCCAGCTTCAGAAGGTTGCTGCGGGATGCATCCCGTGCCCCGCAAAAATCACGAGAACCACAATCAGGGTATTCTGACACATGTGACATGTGACACGAATATGCCCGGATCTTTTGCCCGTCCCAGGCCGTTCGACAGAAACATTGCGCGCGCAGCGCGCCGCGCTGCGCTCCGAGGCGGTCGAGCTGGGCAAAGAGCGGGGAGCCCAATGTGCAGGACAGAAATCAGGACTGACATCGACCGAGACTACCCAAGAGTTGATGCTTGGGCTTGAGGCTGCAAGGCTGCGTGAGCCGTGGGGATGAGCTGGTCTCCGAGAACTTGCGGCTGCGCACGGAGTCAGCTGCCATCGAGGAAGCTGAGGAGTGCTGTCGAATGTGTCGACTTTTTCTTTCCCCAGCTCTCCTCCAGCCTTTTGCTTCTGTTGTCGGCTTTTGCTGCTTTTCGGGGGGGTGGGGGGGAATGGGGGGATCTCCATCATTTCTGCTGACTTCGCAGCATTTCGCAGCATTTTAACGGGCCCCGTGTGTGTTGCCACTTGCAATGACGTGGGCCGGCACCAGGCCTGAGGAGAGAGAAGAAAGCAGCGAGAGAGAGAGAGAGAGAGAGAGAGAACTCGAGGGCGCGCCATGCGCGCGGGGAACAGGGTAACTTCCCTATCTCCCCATGCCCGGCAGAAGAAGAAGAAGAAGAAGAAGAAGAAGAAGAAGAAGAAGAAGAAGAAGAAGAAGAAGAAGAAGAAGAAGAAGAGAATCGTTCTTTGGATGAGAGAAGGGAGAGAGTGAGAGAGCTGGGGCCTGCCCCCAAGCCCCATGAAAGAAATGAAGAAAGTAAGAAAGACAGAGAGGGTGCTTGTGGGTGAGGGGGGGAGGCTAGCAACCCAAGCGCCCCAGAGTTTCATAGCAGCCCATGGCGAGTCTGATCGGCTGACAACAGGACGAGCACCCGATCGCCACAATTGACTACCTAATGGACGTAGGGGGTTGGCATCTGCGGCAACGTCACAGAAACCAAAGAGCTAAACGGCAGGTTTAGACAAAATGACAGCGAAAACCTACGGTCATAAGAACCCCCCCAGTATTTCGCGGTGACTTCGGCTTTATGGCCTTTCGAGTCCGTTTGGTTTGCTTCCGCGCTTGCGATGCTGGCGGTGCCTTATGGTGGGCACGGCGGCTCTCTACTTTTAGTGCAGGTATTGCCGCTCCCTTCTTCCCTCTCTGTGGTGGTTTCCTACTTTAGGATGAGGCTGACCGTGCCATGAGCGCTATCTTGAGAGACCTGAGTACATTTTTGGTGCGGCCCGGATGCGGTGTGATTTCCTATCACGCAAGTTGTGGTGTGACCTGCTGTGTTCTATGTTCAGCGTTTACTTTTCACTGGTGCGAAAACATGTCCACCTGATGCGAGGAAAGTGGTTGACCAAGACAAGACTCATGCCAGTGTGTTCTTTTCAGCGCCTTTGGTCCATTGCTGACTATCGGCAGATAGCAGAAACATGTTTAGCGTGAACACGTGCCCTTCGGCATTTGCAAGAGTTTGTGTACCCGCTTGAGATTGAAACGTTGTCCTTTCCGTGTTTGGCGGGGTGGCGTGCATGTGCCCGGGCCGCAAAGCGTTCCAAAACCAGAGGTTCTTGGTCCAGATCAGACCACGTGAAGACATGCAGCCACTTGCTTCGTCAGCTGTTTTGGTGGGGAGGTACCGGGGCCCTTGTGCGGCTATGTACTACAAAGACTAGTTCCCGTCGCCGAGCAGGCACGCCTCTCGATCCCGTTCTCCGCGGGCCTCTGCTCAGGCTCGGGGAGCCAGGGCCAGTGACCTCGATTTGGCTGAAAACGAGCTGCCCTGCAGGGCACCCGATATGCCTACGACAACCGGCGCGCTGAGGATGAAGGTCCCAAAAGAAAATGCCGCTTCTGGGCTGCACTTTTACGAGCCCAGCACATCTAAGCGCATTCCCAACATCTCGAAGCACATTTCGTCCAGCTTAGATCCCCGAGGCTTCTGTGGCGCTTTGGCCAATTGTGAGTTTGGCCGGGACGAGGAGTTTTGCAGCAGTCCGGGCCTCTCCGGATTTCAGTTTCCATTGCTTCAATCGGCTTTATATTGTCATGGTCTTTTCCCTTGTGCATTCCTGCAAAAGGTGGGTGCTACATTGATGCAAGTGGCCCGGCACGCACGTTTCCGACATGTTCCGGTGCCTCAAGATATGCAAAAGGTTGAAGCATCCTTTGGGGAGTGTCTCAGGCAAAGGCGTGGAGGCCCTGGATTGGGATGGTTTCGAAGCTGCCTCCTGGCTTCACATCGAGGCGCGCAGCGCACGTTGCAAGTATGTCGTCTGGGGCTGTATGTAGTATGCATCATTTGTAGAAACAGCAACTTCTTACAGCAGGCCGCCCAGGATTCGTCAGCTCTTCGCGATGGGCTACTCCAAATGTTTAGGCATTTAGGCAACAAGCACAGCATTGGCGGTGAGAAAAAACTACTGAAGTTGGTGAAACAGGAGCAAAGACGAATGCAGAGTTACGTAATTACGATCAATCAGTCGTGCTTGCAGTTTCTCTAGTTTGTTTCTGCCGGTAGCTTGAGCAGTGAGCTCATCACAGAGTCAGGGCTACCTGCAATGCAGCTTTTGTGCAGCGAAATTACCCTGCGGAGAGTTTGAGAGCTTTCTGTTTGTTTTTTTGCAGGGGCTGGACCGCTGGAAGCGCCAGCTTGTCGCAGTCCTTCGAGATGGCCATTCGCTTCTGACGACGCTGAACGAAGGCAGGGGGCGGCACAGTGTGTTTGTGGTCGGCAAGGAGGGACTTTGGCACAGGTGTGCTTCGCAGAGTTGGTGTGCCGAAGAGGAAGGCCAAGGAAGTGATGCATCTGGGACTGCAGTGGGGCTTGGTCTGCTTGGCGGGTGGCAAAAATCTTAGCAGGGTCGGCAATGGAGTATTCGTAAATCGAACTGGGATAATGTGTCCCACAGCGTTTGTTGGCAAGCCCGCCACAGTTCGCCGCGAAGGGGGCGAAGGCATCCGCCACTCCCTCCCTACCCGTGGGTGGGGGGGCGGGGCTTTATTAGTGGGTGGAGAGGCCGAAACGAGAACTCTCGAAGTCCGGATGAATGGCAAGACAGCAAGCCACAAGTTGCTTTAATACCGCCGGTATTCAGCCCAGCTTTGGAGCATCCCGCCAGAGCAGGTTAGCTGCTGCCATACATGGCCAGGCTGGGCGCCAGAGTGGCCCATCAAAAAGATTACGTGGCGATGGCAGGTTTCCACGTCAAGTGTTGCTTTGTGATGTCATGTACAGTCGGTTTGTCGTTGTCGCGAACGTCCGACCGATGGCCTCTGCTCGGGGCAACTCCTGATAAACCACTTTTCAACTTTAAAGCTTCTGTTGTCATTGCAATGTGTGTGTGTGGCAAAGGGCAGAAGCAATCGTCAACAGTCAGGGCTGGAGCATGTTGAGGCACTTGGAGGCCTGTTTGATCCCGTAGCTCATAAATCATGTAAAGGCAATGTAAGAGCTCTCCTTTATGCTGAGGCAAGTTTTTTGTTTCATCACTTGTTTTTGGTTTCTTAGCAATGATCCGGGTCGTAATCGAAGCGCATAAATTATGTCTACTCAGAATAATCCCAAAGTTTACTACATGGAAATTGAAAAATGTACTTGTGAAAAAGATTAAAAAAAGTGAGAGTGTTTCTTTGCCCTCGGCTTCGAGGAACGATGTGGAGGACCTGCGACGCGGTGCCTGGGCGCAGCCGGAGCCGCCAAGGGAGGCCAGGATCTGCGTCCTCGAAGCTCCTTGGAAATTTTTGCAGCCCCATTTTTCTAGGGGTATTTTGCCGCTTTGGGGGCAGGAGGTGCCAATGCCCACTGTGGCCGAGCTGGGAAGCAAAGTGCGGCAAGGTCGGATTGCTGGTAGCGCCATCAGCTAGCCATAGCCGGCAGCCTGTTCTTGTCGCCCTGCGCACTGCGCAGGATGGCATCATGTGCTGAAAGATGATGTGCTTCGTGCCACGGTTGCAATGAGCTGCATGAGATCTCAGTCGCATGCCGACATACCACGACATACCTGTCGAAACCCTGCATCCTGGACTGGATAACATTGGCAAGCTGGAACAGTTCTCCAGGTTCGTACGCATCGATGTGCCGCAGCGCTGTGCCGCAGGCGCAGACTTGGCACACGGTCAGCCAGCAAAGTAGAAAGCGGCACAGACTAAGCATGCTTAAGGATACTCTTGGATGTCATGCTTGCATTGGCATCGATACGGCATCGATCATCTTCGTCTTCCCAGTGAAGTTAAACGAGTGTTCTAAGCAGTCGGGCAATCATGACATGCCATGGTTACTTGAGCCACCTGAACCTGCAAGCGCTACATTTGTCACACGGCGGTTTGGGTCAGGATCTGGCATGGCGATGGTTTGAGCAGCTACGTACACAGCTGCCTTGGCAGGACGATCATTAAAGCTGAAGCGTACTTTCGCCCTCTCAACGAAGCTATGGTTACCCATACGGCCGTTCTCAACTTGTTCTCACAGAAGTCACACGACGTCACCATGTCACCATAGACCAATCACATACACGACTCAGTGCGCTTTCGGTAAGATGCCACGTGCCTTGAGCGAGCCTGGGCCACACCTACCAAACATCAGCACGCGCAGCAAACAAAGGACGTGCATTCCTTCCCTCTGCCCCCAACTCCACCTGTACCAAAAACAGTGCCCTACACCATTCTGCGCCTGCCGCAAAGACAACACATGCCCCTTCCATCCCCTGCCACACACAGAAAAAGAAAACGAACCAGCCACAAAAAACAACTTTTGCAGCCTTGCATGCATACCATGCCCCAGGCTGCCGAGCAGTCCAACAGCACCGACCAGCTGTTCGTCCGTTCGCCCGTTTTCCGCGTGCGTGTAGCGAGTACGATTAAACTCTATTCTAGGTTTTCCTTCAATCATCAGAGCAGCAACCTGGCACAGGACCTGTGCGATGAGCGCTATCAGGGCGAGGGCAAGCATATCCCTCGTCGTACCATCTTCACCGTGTTCAACGGATGCAATTGTGTTTACAAGTATTCAGGCCGGCATGCCTGCCGTAACGTGCTCTGCCTTCCTCACACAATGTGGCTTCTCGCGCAAAGTGCTTCACGTATCTACTTGGTCCAGGAGTTGCCGTGAAGCCTACCATTGAACCCGACTTTGTCGCAGAAATTCGCAGCTGCATTTGATTGGACCCTGCTTGCCGGAGTGTGTGAATTTCTTGTGCAAGTTCCGCTTTAGTTTAGCCGCCAGACACAGACAGGCAACTTGAACATGAGTGTCAGGTAAGTATTGTGTGGGCATTTCTGGCCTCACGACGCAGCCAAACTGCTGCAACATCAATCTGTACAGTGACTCGTTTGCATTGGAAGCAGCTTTGGCGTGAGTGGTTCCGTCCAAATCGTTTGCTGCAGGAGATGGACATGATTCCGTTGGGTGGCATACAGATGACGAGGAGAGTTCAGTTCTTGTTGTCGTCGGAGTTGGCCATGCTAGCTGGCAACCTCTGCACCTTGGCCGTGCGCAAGGAATGTATATACGTATAACTCATGCGTGTGACTTGGGGGTGGATGCCAGGTGCGTCGGCAGCACATAGCGACTCCAGGGTCCAGCGCAAGCATCCGAGCAGGAGCTTTTCGAGGGCGGGTACAAGGATATCACCATTCTGAGTCTTTCACTAGGCGCGACTCGCACTTTCGAGGCCGGTTCAAATGCTTCGGGGACAAGAGCAGAACTCTGAATGTCCAGGATTGCCCATCTGACGTGCAGGTGAAGAAGCAACCAGGCCCGAGCGCCAAAGGCAAAAGCCATAAAGGACCTGCTGAAGCTTCTTTTGAAGTACGGTGCCTTGTCTTAAGGCAGACTTGTGAGGCATTCAGAGGGAGGGGGCTTCCACAGCTATCCAGAAAGCCGATGAGAGCTCTCATGCAAATAAGTGGCCTTCTGCAGTGGTTTGCAAGGCATGGTGATATCTGCACTATGGAGGGCATGTTCCAGCGCTTCTTGGGCGGAATTGGTCTGTGAAGCTTCGTAGGCACAGGTGCTTTCTGAAGGTGAAAGTAGCCAAGGACACTACCTTCATGCTGTGCCCAAGGAGTTCGAGCCGGCTTTGTAAGTTCTGGCACCGCAGAGACCTGACAAGCCACAGTCGTTTGTTGAGTGATGCTCTGGAGGAGCCTTCAATCAGGAAACCGAGGATCAATCTGACTTGGCGTTGCTTGATAGCGGTTGAGAGAAGTTCACATCTCGAAGGAAGGCGCAGTAATGGCTTGTTGCTAGCGTGTAGTGGGGGATGTACATGCGTCCATGCCTCGCAGCATCTCGCAGAAGCTCAACTCTGCAAGGCTGGATCACGAAACACAATCAGACAGATGGTTGCCCCCTGTGTGGGCCTGGCAATCAGCAAGTTCCTTTGAGACCAACAATTTGCTGAGCCGGCTTGGCAAACATGCTCCGCAATCCAGAACACAATGCGACTGTAGCCATTGCCTCTGGCGCCATCGGGCACAGGTGCAGCATGGCACAGGCTGAATTCATCAATCAACCCACGACTTGATTGAGGGACTACAAATGTCTTTACACGGCTGTTCGAGCCGGCCCAAGGCTGCGCTTTGCAGTGTCGAAACTCGCACTTGGAGACCTGGAGTTGCGCACCCACGCTGCGCTTCACCTAGGGTTCTCAAACAAGTGTTTGAAGCGGAGTGCCTAGCCTGTGATCAGTCTTAACTCGAAAGTCAGAGCTCCTGCCGTGTCTTCACCTCACGGCAGGCAACTCCAACTGAGTTCTCCGAATATGTTTATTGCCCCTCTCGGAGTCCTGCGCTGACTCTTTCGTTCCTTCTTATACCTTAGAAGGCCTTACAAACGGATTCGTAGATTTTACGCGCAGGACTCCCTGAGCCTGTCAAATGCTGACGGTACCAAGTGAGCGCAGCTTTTCAGGATGGCAAAGCAGCACAGACCAAAACTTCGACATGCGAGGGTTTATGCTGGAATTATGCTGGGCTTATGGTGATATGTGGTCCCTGGTAGCATGTGGTGATATTGAGTGATGGTACGCCAGTAGGTCAAAGGCAGGAAAGCAGCAGAAGATAGCCTGCGCGCATTTTCATGAAGGGGCCTCGGCGAAGGTGTGACGTGGATTGTTGGCCTCATCCACGACAGATGACACTGGGGGGATCATCTCAATCTCATGCTTCACTGGCGGCAAAACCCCAATTGATTTTGTCAGGGAGACCAGAGAAGCCCATGACCGGCGCAACATGCAGACCCTTTGCACAGTGAGCATGTCTTCAGCATCTCGCCATGCATAGGGACGGAGGCAGAACCACATGCCAGCCGCAGTACTACTACTGTGTGAACTCCCAAGAGTCGCAACGTGTTGAGACCACCGAAGAGCGATGAAGTATGGGATGGTATGGGCAAGCATGACATGATGTCGTAGATTTCGGCTTTTCTGCGCGCAAATCTCCGTGCAGGAGCGCGCGCGCTCGGAGCTGCAGCGCTTCCTGGCTTCCGAGAGCCCGCAGTTGCAGACGGCTGCGCAGCGGCTGAGGCCTAGAAGTTGCTTCGTTCGTTGATACCTTTTCTTGCTTCCCTGCTTCCCCTAGCTATCCTAACTATGGTAATATTGGTCTGGGCTAGGGGGCGAGGGCGACTCTTCGTTCAAGGTTTGCCTCCCATGGCCTTCCCTCCACATGAAGAGGACGAGAAGTAGGATTGCCACGTGCATAGGGTCGTATACACGCCAAGATGACCAGAAGGAGTGGCCGATCACCACGAAAAAATCAGGGTCCTAGACTCCGGTGACCGGATGTCTCAGCCCAGTCGCGCTCGCTGTTTTCCCACTGTCGTGTCGATCGCAACTTGCCGATTGGCATTCCATGGCAGTCCTTTCATCTCAGGCAGGTCAACGTTTAATTATCGCTCTGCTTCCCAGCTCCCCCAGGGCATTTTGCTGATGGAGCCACCGCCAAGCAGTGATCTTGATCCAGCGAGTCTGCTGCCTGCAGCACTGCTTGGTACAAAGCGATGTGGCAAGTGGCGCAGCATGGTTGGTCGTCAGAAAGAACCCCATAGCATGATCGGGAGGCCGTTCTCAGCTTGAGCTGCCTATTGCGCATGCTGTCCCACTTCGGGACAGTATTGAGCAAGGGGTCGTCTGGGCGTAGGTCTCAGACCGAGTTGCCCGCGAAAGGCGGGGTGATCCAAGCAGAAAAAACCAAACTGATTGAGCAACCAAGTCCTGGAGCCGTGCTGCTGCATGGTTCTCGCTGTGGGCACGGCGTGCCCCAGTGGGATAGCTGATGATAAGTCGACGAAAGGGATCGCCCCCACTTTTGCAAGCTACACAATGACAACACCTCTGCGTCATGGTCACCGACTCAGCATCTCAACTTGAATTGACGACCCATAAACATCCCCGATTGACCAATCGGTCGATTGATGTTGAATCAATGTCGACTAGCTTTTTTCAAGCGAGCTTGGAAAACGTCAATCGCAGTTGCGATTGATTCAGAGAAATCTTCGCTTGAACTTTCGTGGACGCCCCGAACCCGTCATCGCTTGATTTTTCAATCTGACCAAGAAACCTGCGATACATTTTACGATGCCCTCCGACTCCGAGCCGTACCAAGCACGAGGGCCGCATTGATGTGAAAGATCTTGACGTTAAACGCCGTTTGTGAATCCCAGTGAAAACTGGGACAGCCAGTCTTAGACCCGATCGTGATGACAAAGACTTGCCCTGATCCCCAGCGTCAGTACCCCGAGATGGAGCTCACGGCATTGCGGCACGAATTTAGTGATCTCCTCGGTAAGCCAATGGAGATGGTCCACTCAGTCCACTCGTCCCGATTGTCCGAAGTGATGCTGCTGTTCTGAGCGCTGCTCATGTCCATGGCCAAAGCCACGTCGCCACCAACAGCCAACAACAGTCACGGCGATTTTCTCGCCATGCACGATTATCATGCTGAGCAGTCGGCCTTTAATTCTGTTGAGCATTGGATGCGCTTTCCTTCCCAGCCGTATAGCCTCCCTTTCAGCTTCTGCGACGACACAGCTGGAGCGGGGTTCGACATCAGCAGACTCGCAGGTGATCTCATGAGCTTTTGTGGTCTTGGAGCGTTCTGGAGGCGTGGTTCTTGTAATGCGCGGAACAGTTGGCAAAACTGAAAGGCAAGCTGAAGTTTTCGATGTTTGGACCCAGGTAGTTTCGAGGCCCTGGCCGCAGCTTTCTTATCTTTCTTATCTTTCTGACACATATTCTCTTTCTCATTTTTCCTATCTTATCTTCGACCCTTGTCCACAACGACAATATTGTAGAGATCGCCGCTTGGAATTGACGCCGTAGAGCCGTAGATCCAGGGGTTGTTGGTTCGGTGGCAAAAGCCGGTCATCGTCGAGGGCCACTCCTCAAAAGACGATCTTTCCCAGATCGAGGACTTCTGTGATCTCACTCCAAAGTTGGGCGTAAACATATTTCCGACCGATTGACAATGATTGACATCCCGTACAACAGTCGGACCGTCGAAGGTCGGTGCCAGGACGGTCGTCTGCCAATCCCCCGCCCTGAGCTGCTAGTGCCTTCGCTTGGGCGCCTCTTGGCGCGGCTTCGCGGCTTCTTTGCTCGCGAAGAGTCAATGCAGGAGATTCGCCGTTTTTGAAGTAAACTCGTGTGGCCCAACGACCGGGCGATCGCCGCATGTGTCGAACGCGAAGGTTTCATGACGCTCCTTCGTTCCGGGTCTCGGGCTGGGGTATGCCATCGATACTGCCCATCTCTCAATTCTGGAGCAGCAACAAGTTGTCGTTGCTGCCTGATTGCGTGTGATCATGCGAGGGTGCGAGTGTTGACGAGAGAGTTTGAGATTCACTGTTGGTTGTTGAGCACTAACGGCAGTTCGTGGCCTGCGAGGCAACTTTGGCTTGATGTCCAGTCGCGCACTCAGACTCCTCAACTCGTGGACTCAGAGTGCAGCTTTTGATCTTCTGTCAAGCCATGACACGTCCATGAGAAGGCATGGAACCGAAGATGCCAGTTATGCCAGTTCCCTTGAGGACCACCCAAGTACTTTGTACTGCCCTCACAGTACATACAGCCAGGATTTCCCAGGTAAACTCCAGGAGGGTGGAGCAACAGGAGTTAGCTTTCTTCTGTGTCTTGCCCAAGGGCAGCAAGACACGGCTACATGAGAAGTCTTCACAACATGATCGTTTCAGAATGAAGATGTGGTCTGATGCATGCTGATGTCAGCTCGCAGGACGGCCTGGTGGAAGGCATTGGAGAAACAGGAACATTCTGTGACCGTCAGTGACCCTTATGCACAAGATCGAGGCATTGACTATGCCACGCGCTTGCAGACCTTGCGTGAGGCCAGAAGTCATGGGACCCAGTCCTGGTCACTTCTAGATAGCAATGGCACCACCAGTGCTTCTGCAGGCTGCCGACCGGATTTCCTGCTCGAATGCCGTGAGCAGGACTCAAGGAGTTTGAGGCTTGGGGGGTTTGAGAATATTCCCAACTAGCCAAATGGTTGTTACGCTGAAGTTGCTGATGACCTGCTGGGCCTGCTGGGAAAATGAAGTGCGAAGTGCTGACTTGTTGAATACTGGAGGCACAGTTGCATGCGAAGATTCTTGGATTCTTGCGCCTAGTTTGTGAAGGCTTGCTCCGAACATAGGATTGAAAGTGAAAGGTTGCAGTCTTTTGAACGATTTTCATGCTCTCAGTCCTTACCGCGGGTGGGTGGGTGGGGCTGGTTTCTGGGGTGCATGCTGCCAGTGGATTCATGGCCGCTCACCCCCTCAACCCTGCTTCCTGCCAGCACATCCAACTGTTGAAAAGATGCTTGAGAACAAGTGGTTGGAATGAGTTGGAGGGTGATGGGGGGTGGGGTCGTGATACAAGGCTTGTGTTCCATTAGATCCAGACTCCGTTTCGGAATCTGCGGGATCCAGCGAATCCGCGATTCCCGGTTTCTCGAACCAGCAGATTTCCAAAGCATCTCGGTTGTTCAATCCGC